TTAACTATATAACGGTACAAGAATTTTTATTCTGATTTTAACTCATTTTGTTATCTCCATGTTTAAAAGCATCTACTCCTGCTTTTTTTAAATTCACAAAATATAGTTTTAAATAATGCATGTAATTGCAAAAAGCACAGTCCACTCTTCTTTGATTTATCTTTTTCCCCTTAATTAGTATTTCAACATACTGGGATCATAAACACCCTTAGCTCTAATATGGTCATAATAACTAAGGTTATTACTTTTCAGTTTAGTTACAAGTGTAAATTCTCTGTTTCCTAGTCTAACAAGAGCTAATTAGTGCTATACACAGACTGAAGAATCTTTATTGTGTAATCTCATTGATGTAGTGAGCAGTTACACTACACTGCTGACTTTGAAGTCAGTCCCGTTAAGTGTCCAAGATGACAAGAAGCAGAATGTCTATGGTCAGTTGTATTCTTTCTACATAGTTCATACTCATGGAACATATAAACACAGGTATATCAACTGTGTGGTTAGACATAAATAGAATGCCTTTACTTCAAACAGGCAAGGAAAATGAACTTATTTATAGGGCATATTTTTTTCCAGTTTTTTATTTTAAATTGCTCTGGAACCATATTCCATCTATCAAGTCAGGCCTTTTGACAGCTAATACCTACAACCCAAGGATTTAGAGTTTGAGGTACTACCTTTACAGGTGCACTGCTGCATCAGTATCTTATAAGTATATCCTTATACGTATATATAAAGACATACAAAATTTATGCTGTTGAGTGAGACCTCTGGAAGGTATAAACCCTTTGCAGTATTAGTTTCAAAACTCACTTTCTGAGGGAAGCAGTATTCTGTCTCATCAAGAGGTCTCATATAGATAAAACTCTTTTTCTTAACCCCTTGACTTTCCTTTCTAATTTCCCAAATTTAGGGATTCCAGTGAAAGCTGGAAAGAGAAGAGAAACTTGAAAACCTATACATAAATAGTCTTGTTTGAACTGTCCCGTGAAGGTACATTGCTAAAAACATAATAGAAGGTAATTAATCGATCTATGATTTGTTATAGATAAAAATCCTTACTGTGACTTATCAGCAGTTGTTCTTGCAGAATTACAAGTTCCTGAAACCCTCATCCTAAGGATTTTTTTGCCTAACATCTATAAAACTTGTCATGAAACCATATGCTGCATGAAATAGTGCTGGAAACAGTGGTACCTAGAAACTACTTTCCAAATTTTCATCCACGAGGATTCTGCCAGTCTCATCTGGAACTTCTTTAAACAAAAACCTGGCTTTTGTGACTGAAAGCTCTGATTTAGTAATTTTCTTTACAAAAAAGCAGATTGGTGAAGTGAAAAGTTTTGGTAAATGATAGATTGGATATTAGAAAGAAGTTCTTTACAGAGAGAGTGATCAGGCATTGGAATGGCCTGCCCAGAGAGGTGGTGGATTCGCCATCCCTGGAGGTTTTTAAGATGAGGCTGGATGTGGCACTGAGTGCCATGATCTAGTAATCACAGTGGGATTGGATCAAGGGTTGGACTTGATGATCTTGGAGGTCTCTTCCAACCCAGTTATTTCTATGATTCTATGATGGTTATATGTATTTTTTTAATTTCTTCCCACTGAAGTAATACCAGTCACATTTTTTGTTTAGAAAGAAGCAGATGTAGGAGCATTAAAAAAAAAGCCCTCCCCTTTCCTGCATCTTATCTCTGTTTTCCCTGGCTTTGAAGATCTAGTAATTTCACAGTCACATATTAGTTTCCTTCCTCTGAGGGTGTTTTCCTGTATTTTGCGTGATAATTTATTTGATCTGATGCAACACATTATTTCTCTTAATATGCAGCTTTAAGAATTTTTGCATCTTCATGTTGGAACCCTTCTCATGTTTTCTGGGGTGGTTATTTGCCTTGAATAGGTTGCATAAAGGCACATTCTGCACTTATTTAGACTTCCAGTGATGATTCTTTATTTCAGCAAAATGTCAATAAAAAAGAAGCATGACAACAGAAACAACATTTGTATTTTCAGTGCTAGCCTAGTGCAGTTTGAAAACTACTAGAACCTCTGGAAGCTTTTGGTGCTGGTCAAGCTAAGTTCATTGTAGACTGTTTATCCTCAGACCAGGGGAATACAGAAAAGGGAAAGGGAAATGATTTCCTTCTCCGAAACAGTACTGGGATATGGGAAAATTTCTGCAAGCAAACATAACTCTACTGTATTGTTAGACTACCTCGAGAGAACTGGTTTTGTTCTTCCAGCACATTAGCTATTGTTTTCTGGTTTAATGTTTTCTATTTTTTTTGGCAGTACAGTCCTGTTTTCAGCCTGCAGTTACTGTCATACAGAGATTAAATCCTTTTATGTTCTTGATTTTTTTACAGAGCCAGAGAGAAACCTATTCTGCTGCACACTGTGAAACCACCCTTATGCAGCAGCCTTTCTGAGAGTCCATAAAATGTATAGTGCTGTATAAACACAAGGAGGTATACACCTACCTCTACCTCTGAACTAGACATATGAAGGCTCAATTTAGGATTAACCATTTTGATAATACTTTTTTCTTCATGTACATATTTAGCTCTTTTAAAATAGATATCAGCAATGTTTACTCTTATTTAAAAATCACTCTCTTTAGATGTAATATGTAAGTACAAAAATTAACACCTAGGCTAAATAGGAGGAAATGTGTATAGCAATGGATATTTCTTAATAAAAGAAATGTTTCTTTGGGGACTTAATATCAGTGCTGGTTAACAATGTAAAGATCTCAGAGACAATACTGAAGGGCTGAACTGTCATGTCACCACTTACCATTGTGAATGGGACTAAGTCCATTTAGTGGCCGGCCACTAATGGTTCTGTTCCCCAGGACTCAGGACTGGGGCTGATCCTGTTTTAACATCTTTAACAATGATTTGTATGAGGGGATTGAGTGCACCCTTAGTAAGTTCACAAATTACACCAAGTCAGGCAGGAGTGTTGAACTGCTGGAAGGTATAAAGGGTTTGCAGACCTGTCTGCACAGAGTGGATCGATGAGCTGAGGACCGTTGCATGAGATTTAATAAAACGAAGTGCTGGGTCCTGCACTTGGGTCACAACAACCCCAAGCAGCACTGCAGGCTGAGGGAAGAGTGGCTGGAAAGCTGCCTGCGGAAAAGGCCCTGGAGATGCTGGTTGACAGCAGCTGAACATAATCCAGCAGTGTGCCCAGGTGGCCAAGAAGGCCAATGGTATCCTGGCCTGTGTCAGCAATAGTGTGGCCAGCAGGACCAGGGCAGTGATCGTCCCCCTGTACTCGGCACTGGTGAGGCCGTACCTTGAATCCTGGATTCATTTCTGGGCCTCTCACTACAAGAAGGACATTGAGGTGCTGAAGTAAGTCTGGAAAAGAGCAGTGGAGCTGGTGAAGGGTCTGGAGCACAAGGCATATGAGTAGTGGCTAAGAGACCTGGGCTTATTTAACCTGAAGAAAAGGAAGCTGAGGGGGAACCTTACTGCTCCCTGCTACCTGAAAAGAAGTTGCACTGAGATAAAGATTGGTCTCTCCTTCCATGTCTCAAGTGAAAGGACAAAAAGAAATGGCCTTATGTTTTGTGAGGGAAGGTTCAGATTGGATATTGGAATGGTTATACATTGGAATGTATTGGAATAAATTGCTGATGGAGGTGGTGGAGTAACCATCTCTGGAAACGTTCAAGTGGCCTCTGAATGTGGCACCTGGGGGGATTATGGTCCTTCTAGGTTGATGTTTGGTCTAGATGGTCTTTGAGGTCTCTTACAACCTTGATGATTCTGTCATTTATGTAGTTTTTGAAAGGCATATCATTTAGTGCTGGCATATCTAATCAGTTCATCCCATCTACTTTACGTGCCTAATTTAGGATAGAGTGCTGTATGGCCAGAAAATAGGTGTCTCTGTTGATCAGAGTGGTGACTGCTTTCACCTTGACATGTAACTTCTGGGTGGATTGTGTTAAGTGCATTGAATCCAGCTTTGATTGGTCTGCTTTACCTGGGCTTGGCTGCAGTTAAAATTACTTAAATTTTCTTGCTTTAAGAAATGTTTGTTAGGTATGAATGCTGGAGCAATCATAAGGTCCTTGTTAGTTGATCAGATTGCTTCACTATATCTCAGTTCTTATTTTTCATATTATAAAAGAGTTGGTCCTGAAAATCCTAGGCACACAGTGAAACCTTGCAAATATAATTAGAACCAAGAAGATTGGTAATATTCATTCAGCACAAATCCCATCTTGGTGGTGAGTTCTTTAGAGTTGTTGGATGGGTTTTCTTTCTTTCTAGTTTTTTAGGCCAATAAAAAGTTTTTTTTGATTATAGCTTATAATATGCATAGTTACCAGTTAATAACCTGGGGAAGAGAAACACACATCCAGATTATATGGTGGTTAATTTTAGTTCTAGAAAATACTAGCACGTTGCCCAGATAGTGAGAGGGCTCATCTCATGTGTCAGAGGAGACAGGGAAAATCAGGGAACAGTTCTTGTTCAAATTCAGTCTTAGACTGGGAAAGGTTTTTAAAGGACATTCTGTATCATGGAAACATCCCTCTATTGTCTTGGCTTTGAACACATTAACAGAAGTACAAATGTTTTCGAAGCATATTGATTTTGATCCCCTATATTTTGTAAGGGAAGGTACTTCTACATGATACTTTAACTTTCATTAAAAATATTGATATAATAAAACTGTGTATCTAGAGTTTACTATTTCTTTCTCAATAAGAAGAGAAAGATACTGGTAAAACCTAATGAGGTAAGGTCCTACATTTTCCAAAATACTACACTTAGTGTATAAACACACTTGGGTTCTGTTTGAAGTTAGGTTCTGAGACAAGGATCAGTTTTGAACAGTGTTGTTGATCTTTTTTGGTTTTTTTTAACTTATAGCCCAGCTGTCAGGAGGTGTAGCAAGACCTAGAATATTCCTCAACTGACCTCATATCGTATATAAGAAAAGCACTGTCTTAATCATGTGATGTTTTATTCCAGAGTGGCAAAAGTAATGAAGGTTCCTGTGTATGAGACACCAGCAGGATGGAGATACTTTTCCAATCTCATGGACTCTGGACGTTGTTCACTTTGTGGAGAGGAGAGTTTTGGCACTGGTAAGTAATACATACTCCAAAATTACCAGACTTTTATTGACAACTTTTAATTTTCTGGATGCCTGTGGTCAATCAGCCAAAAAAAATCAGCAAATTAACTGTTTTGTGCTGGAACAGAGAACTGTCTGTTGTTCACATTTTGATGGTCATCTTTCAACTGTGGTGTCCAGTACCTCCACCAGAGGTGTGAAAAATGTGGAAGACAGACACTCAGAATCGACAGGCAAACCTATTACTATCCAGACAGCTTTTGGAGGTGCCTGGCAGTCTCTTCTGACTTGAACATAATGCAGAAATGTCTCACTGGTTCCACTGTAATAGTCGTTTCACAGACTGCAACAGCATTCGGAGGGATTTTACCCATATGGAAACCACATGGTTTTTCCTAATGTGATTAAGTGTACAAAGTATGAGAATTGATATGTCCAATGGTGTGCCTAAACAAACCTGTTGTAGACAACCCTTTTTGAAACATTACAATTAATCAAATATCAGATAAAATCATCATTAGAAGATATTCAGTTACATATTAGCATCTCTGTTTTCCCTGGGTATTTCTCTCTTAGCTGTCACAAGAACCAGTCAAGCAACAGAATGCAGAATGAACAACAAATTTGAGTCATCAGAAATACAGTGCTGACAGTAAGCATTAGAGCAGACAATAAAATATATAGTGTGTAAATCTGCACAAATATGGCTGCAGTTTATGAGAAAAACTGAATAAATTTCAGAATGGGTCTCTTTTTTCTTTCCTGTATTCTAGCACAGAAATTCTTCCTTCTTTTTATTTATTAGACTGGTTATGTTACAAGTGTTTTTGAAAGAGCATGTACTGGAATAACATGACCATATAACTGGTTAATAGTTTATTGTGTATTTTGATGTGAGTTCCATAGAATTCTTTATTTTGAATGTGAAATTCTCTGGCTGCAGCTTTTTGTAGAAAATATTCACCATGCAGTGAAACTTGTTTCATTTTGCTTTGATTGAGTTAGGTATTTAGTTTTTTTCAGTTGAGGTCAATTAGAGCAGAATGCTACTTCTTCAAAAATGAGGATACCTTTAATCCAAAGACATGCCATCCTATGTGTCATTTACTGTACAGATCTGAATGGACTATGATGGAAGAACCAAAAATGTGTTAGATTTCTTTAGGTGTCTCTAAGTAAGAAGGAAGAGAAATTAATAATTAATGTTAATTTTCTATTTGTTTTGAATGGTAACCAATGTCCCATGATTAGCAACCTGGATTCCTTGACTAATCACAGTGAGTGGCACAGGTTTGTATTGCCTTGAAGTGTCTTTTGAATAGATACTTTCTCTACAGGGTGTTCTACAAAGTCACTATGTGATTTCTAATTTGAAGAGAAGGGTAGGAAGATCTTGACCAGTCAGAATATACTGCTATTTTTTTGTGGTGTGTTGTTGAACTCTGTCTCTATTTGCCCATATGTAGCAATGAGAGGTGTGAACTGGGAGATTGCAGCTCTCACTACTTTTTGATGCTTTTTCATGAGGTCAAATCTGTACCTCTTCTCTCTAAATATTTGAAGTTCCTGCTGCTCATGCAAAACCAGATACTTTCATGAAACTTGAGTGGGTTTAGAGACACCTGTATGACCTCATTAGCACCCAAATTATTTTGAAAAAATATCCTACCGTCAGCATCATGCTGCAGAAAGGGAAGTGTGGGTTTTAACTGGAAGGAACTTGTAAGAGTTTTGATGGTGAGTTCCCATAGACTGAAGTACATCTAGATACCTTAGCTCACAGAATGCAGCATATCCTGCTGCTTGCAGGTTTGTATGTAGAGGTGTGTAAAACAAACAGGGGTGGTCTCTACGTGCCGTATGCCGTGACAAACCACTGTCACGGGCCTGTTACTGCTTGGGAAGTCCGTTGCTAGACCATCTTCATCTGAGAAGATGTTGAGTATGACTCTCTCAGATGCCTTTTGTCTGAGGGAGAAAGGAAGAATCATTGGTTGCTTAGTAGAAGCTGTATCTTCTTTGAGGAGACTTGTCATTAAAATCTTATGGTACAGTTGTTAAAAAAAAAGACATCATATTTCCCTTTCACACTGTTCAGGTCTTGCTCAGCAGGCTGTCCCAGGTACTGGTGGACTCTGCAAATCAGTTGTATGGAAAATAAAAACAAAAAAAGAGGATTGAGGTCCTGATCTACTGAAAAATGAGGGCATTTTGATCTGTATTGACTAACTTTATTATCCTCAGTATCCGATAGTGGTTGAATTTGGGAAGAGAAACACTCATGGAGGTCAAGGAAGGGCATCTGGGATTTGTCTGTTCCAGATAGGGAACAAAATTCCCTATCTGTTCTTGCCCTTGACTTTTTCCTTTGCTTGTATCTTTCTGTAGGGCCTTAAAACAATTGCATTTTGTACTATAGCCTCTCTTCCAAATTTGCAGCTCCTGTCTCCTGTCTCAGACCAGTCTCTGCATTCCTAGCACTCTCCATATTCCTGTATTAATCTAGTGCTCCTGTCCTATCATTAATTCTTCAGATTCCTGATAAATCCCATCTCTTGTGAATTTTAAGAGTGCTTGAACAACATATTGCTGCCAGTGTGGAGAGCTGTTCTACAGCAATATCTCTGCACTGTGGTATGTTCTTGTCAGATGAACTTGGTTGTACCTTCAGTACTTTAGTGCAGAAAGCCTCTTGACCTCCAATTTAATCCAATTCCATCTAAAGGCAAATCTGGATCCTCAAGATTCGATCCCATGGGCATCCGGAGAACTTGAGCGTGGGGTTTAAATTCTTCATTGCATGTGTAGTTGCTGTGTAAAAAACATAGATGACAGGAAGAGACTTCCTAAAGAGATTGTGAAGTCTCTCTCACTGGAGATGCTCACAAACTGTCTGGATGCAGTCCTGTACCATGTACTCAAGGATGACCCTGCTTGAACAGGGAGGTTGGACCAGATGCCCTACTGTGGTCCCCTCCAGCCTTACCTATTCTGTGACTCTGTGACACTTACATAGGCAATTTTGCAATGATTATGATACCTAAAGTTTGTTTTTTCCCTACCTCAGTTTCCTTATCATCTTTCAGTTCAATGCAGCTGTCTGAAAAATGTGTCATCATATGCCAGCAGATTTTTTTGTAAAACATAGTCTGGTTTACAGATGACCAGTACTGTAGCAGTGTGAGCTATTTTTAGCAGCAAATATTTACCTTATTGCAAATCTTTTTAATAATGTCCTAAGCTGTGTGACCCTCACAAGTTTCTACCAGTATTGGGCATTTGAATCAAATTTACAGCTTCTGCTCAATCATATCTATTTAGTGAGTTGAAACTTGGTACTTCTTTAACTTTCAGCATAGAATATTTATATAAGCATACCATACAGTGATCAGAGTGGGAAACTTGGGGCTCTGTGCAAGAGGAAGGAGTTTTACAAATCTACATTCTGTCATCAAACTTCACTGGAGTTTGATGTTGCTCATTGTACACAGGTAATTCAGCCCAGCTGGTATTTCCAAGTAATACAGAGCCTGGTTTTATAACACAAGGGATTTTGCTCTGACAAGTAAATAAAAGCAAGTTTTCTACTATAAAAGGACAAAAGATTTTGAAAACATCTCATAGAGCTGTGTTTCCCAAACTTGTTTTCTGGCAGCTGATCTTGGAGCTCAACCAATGCTTTAAAAACTTCTTCCATTTTTGTAGCAGTGTGAGGAGCTTGTCAGATAAAGTTAGTAGCTTTCTGGTTCTATGACTAATACTCAGCATTCAGTTCAAAGAGGGGCATGAGTAGCAGCGATTAGTTTCTAAATTTCATCAGAAAACTATTAATCAGGATTAGGAGAGCTGTGTCACCGATTTATCTCTCTGCAGTTTAAGCCACTTCAGTAATTGCTACAACTTTTATAAATTTGTTTGCTTCATTCCAAATTTCCAGATTCTGTAAATGTCAGCCACCTTTCCCTGAAGGATTATGCAGAAGAAGAACTAGTGGAGAATATAATAATGTGCTGTTGCTGAAATGAATGAAAACCTCAAAAGAGCTGTTTGGTGGTATATGTTACAGTTACACAAATCTGAAATAATCTCATTAACTTGAATAAAGGAAGAGATCAGAATGTCCCTAAATCTCCATTTGTCTAAAATATCAAGTTTCAGAGTGCTGGATGATAAATTTATAAGACTCAAAGTGTATGCAACCAAAATTATTTACTGTGCGTTTGTGTAGTCCTGTGATTTTTCTTGTTTTAAAATAATGTTTATAAAATGCAATATACTAGAGAGGGATGACTAAGTTAGGGAAAAGCAATTACATTTTATTTGTGCATATGACCCTCAAGGCTTGCTGTCCCTCTTAGAATTGGATATCTCAGATATCTAAGTTAGACATGTAGAAGCCAGCATATATGTCCAACAGCTTTCAAATAGCACAAAAATCATCAGATGAACGTATTTGCATGAACTTACTTTGTTTCTCAAGCTACTGCCTCTGAAAACTTTTTAAGTTTAAACCGGTGTAAGCTGAGTAGTTCTTTATGAATGGTAACATGCTCTGAGAATTTTTCCCAGGTTGTTCACACTGAGTTTGAACATAGCAATTGACTGTTGCAGTAGTAAAAAATAACTTTTGCTTTGTTATACGGAGAAATAACATATTAACCTAAAAATAACGCTTGCTGGTCTTATAATTTCCCTGAACAATGGCAAATTACATGTAATGGTTAAATCAGAAAAATTAATTGTTGACTCCTCTATTCTCCCTTTTTACTTCAGCTCATTAAACACAATTCCTTAAATCCGAGGATGTTTCAATTAAAAGTAGCACTGAGAATCATACTGAGATTACTGAAAGCCTTCAGCAAGCTGGGAGGGATATTACTATTTGGATTTCAGGAATACATAGTTGCAAGGCACCTCCTTGTAGATTCACAGTAGACAGCCTTACAGAAATATTCCTGCCCATGTTTCATTGGAACATTTTTGTTCGGTGAAACGTATTTAAAGTGTTAGTTAAATCAAAATGCATCTCTTTGGTGTTCAGCTCAGCCCATTGCTCAGTGGTCATGATGATGATTTGCTGAATGATTGCTGTGCCTTTCCCTGTATGATTTGCTGGCCTGCAGTCTGCAGAATGTTACACAACAGGAGAATAAATGGTCATTTACATTGGAACAAGTTGCTAAGGGGTTAAGTTTAGTGCCAAGTCTCCACTTCTTGCTAGTGTCTTTTGAGACACTTAAGCCATTTAAGTGGCTGATGATAACAGCAACAGAGATGACTTTTTAGGTGAAACGGAATTTTTCAGTGCTAAGGATGAATGGCTGAAAGGAGAGGCAGGCAGGTTAAGAAGAAAAAGAACAGCCATGGTGTGGTGAGCTTGCCAGTGCCCTTGACCAGTGCCCTGCCTGGCCCTCTGGGTCTCCTCTACTGCCCAGGAGCAGCACCCAGGCTGTCAGCCCCAGCCCCAGCCCCAGTAATGCTGCAACAGGGCCAGTCTCCAACTCCCCACAGCACTACCATGCCTGCCTAAGGACCTCCCTAAGCCAGACCTGCCCATGGCCCCACATCCTGGCCTGGCCTTGCCCTATCTCCATCCCCAGGGAGGTGCCTGATGCTCATGGCTGGGGTTGCCCTGGTGCCCCTGGCTGCCCTGCTTCTGGAGCAGGGGGATGGGCTCTGGCTGCTCCTGCCCTGCTGGCCTAGGGCAGCCTCCGGTGCTCCCAGTCACCTGAGTGTCCTCAGCCCCTGTGGTGACCTGATGACTTTTCATGCTGTTACCAGAGGAACGATGTATGCTGAGGGGGAAGTGACAGTTCTCTTCTAGATTTCTCTTTTGGTGGCAGGGGCAGAAGCCTGTACCATTATCTTGGATATTGTACCCATGACTGTGACCGTGCTGTCTGCTTTGCCTATAAGGAAGCTGACTTTATTATCCATAGCACATACTGCTGGTGTATGGTATCCTTAAGCTGATCTAGCGTGTTACTGCAAGAAGGTTGTAGAAAAGGTGAGGGATGACCTTTATAAGGTCCCTACCAACCCAAACAATTCTTTGATTCTATGACCTGACTGCCCGAAGGACTGACTTTTTTTAGGGGGACATTTGTTTTCCTTTCTTATCTGAAGCTATTTGCAAAGCTTTGGAAGCTCATAAATAATCCTTCCCTTTTTCTTCTGCTTGTTTGGCACTCCGTGCTTTCACAGCACGCAGGGCTCACGAGGAGGGAACAGAGTGAACTGTAGCTCCTCCTACAGCAGCTCCTCAAGGAACAGCCCTGAGCTCTGGCTATTGCAGTAGGAGACTGCTGTTGTTCCGGAGAGTTCCCAGATTACAGTTCAAAACATACAAAAAGGAGCAGAAAGGAGGTGCTCTTACTATCATGACAGCTACTTTGCAAATGCAAAGAAACCATTACTGTCGCAGCTCTTAAATGCCCTTTTCTGTAATACCTGACACATAGCACAAATATAATTAGTCTTCATACAAGTCTTTCTCCTTTTTACAAGTGTTCAGTAATCATTCCCATAGAACTTGTGCTGGATAGGAATTTAGATTTACTTAAGTAGTTAATGTTATGTTCAGGGTGTTGAGGTTGAACGTAACACAAAAAGTGCAAGTGCCAGTCAGAGCTGTGGCAGACCCAGGACAAGTTCTTAGCAAAACCATATGAGCAGGGGCTGCTATTCTGATTGCTGATCTCTCCTAAGAAGTAGGGCTGCAAGTTCAAGGCATCAGCAGGGACTGGAGGACTGAACCCTAAGATGGCTCTCTGCACATCTTGTTATTTTCATTATATGCCTTTAATATGTTAACAGTTTTTCACAGGTTTAGTAGCTTCAGTACATCAATTTATATTATGGGAGCTGTGTCCTCTGCCAGTAGCAAAACACAGCTGTTTTGACAGATGAGTGTGTGGACCTTGCAGGCTGTTATGTAAAACCACAACACTGCAAAACAGTCTTGCTGCAACAAGATTTTTGTGTTTATGGAAGGAGGATACTTCAGAAAACAGGTTTTCTTCCTAAAAGTTTTTAGATTCCTCTCTGGAAGATTTTGCTAAGTATCTTCTAAGGACACAGACAATTCAATTGGTTGCTTCTATAATCAGTAGGAAATTCATGGAAAAAACAAAACTGCTGAATTATTACACTTGCTTTGTACTCAGGATTTCAATAAGGTGCATTAGACAGAAAACCATAAGGTTGCAGCAAACTTCAGCCAAACCTAGTATATTATGCCAGAGCAATGACCACATTTTTGATATCTCTTCAAGTTTCATAAGTCTATTAACCTATACAATTGTCTTCAGTACAACTGAATGTCACGGGTCCTGAATCTTACTTGGGTCTAGGACTATGTGCTAAATCCTATGGGGTATTGCAAAATTGTTGCTAGTCTTCATTGTTGTAATAACCTCTCTCTTCAGAAATATAAACCTAGGAAGGGATTTAGACCTGGGCATCCAAACTTCTTTAGATGGTATGGAGAAATGTAGAAAGGAGAAAAAGTACCATTCTCTGGTTTGCTTTGGGGTTTTTTTGCCAGAAAAATCTTTTCAAGCTCTTGGGTTTCGTCCTGATGGGAGATCATGAACATTCTGAAAATTCTTTCACTGCAGGTTGACAGATGAACATCTGCAGAGATAAGGAGATGCTGTTGGACTTGACTCTCTAAACACAGAACATTCTGATTCATGACTAGGTTTGCATATCTACCCCCATACTGAAATAGTAGCAGAGGTGAAAACATCCTATTAGTGAGCAGGAATCATGACTAAAATTGTTTTCCTACTGCTACTGTTTCTTTTCAAATAGTTGTATATATTTTTATTTAACCTGAGAAATATGGATTTTGTCATATGTTAATAAATCATATTTTAAACTTCAGTTCTGATTGTCTGTCTGGAAGATATTAGAGGTGCTGAGGTTAGTACTATTGATGACCATTATGTGATGTACAAAGTTAAATTAGACATCTGCCCAGCTTCCTCACCTTGTTTTCTGATTTGCGGTGATACCAAATAATGCATTTTATGTCTGTCTCTTTAGGGTCTGATCACCTTCGAGAGAAAGATGGACTGTGGGCTGTGCTAGTTTGGCTTTCAATCCTAGCAGCCCGAAAGCAGAGTGTGGAGGAGATTGTCAGGGATCACTGGGCAAAATTTGGCCGGCACTACTACTGCAGGTGAGAAAAATGAGGAAAAGGCACGGGAACTTCTGGAGTTGATAGGAGAATTCTGCTACAGTCATTGTTTATATGCTCAGCTGCACTTAGGTGTGCATTTGCTGTGGCTACAGAATGAAAATCTACCATGGATTACCACTGTTCTGTAGGCACGTTTTTTCTGATAAGTGACAGAAGGAGGAGCACATATGTATGTTACTGCTAGTATATAAGTAATTGACTTTTCTGATACTGAATGGCAGAAAGACTTATTTACTTGTGAAATGTGTAGGTGTAGCTTGTTACATGACATTGAAAAAGAATCAAAATCCCAGCAACATTTACTGCTGCATTTTTTCTGCAAGTGCTTCCATATGACAGTTTCAGTGAGAACTGAAACTATGCCTACTTTCAATTTAGGTTAACTCCCCCAAGGGTCCAAACATCATTTACATTTTAGCTTCTACCCCTCTCTTAATCCAAAAAATTTTGCAATTTGTAAGGCCTTTTGCGTGTAGCTGTTCCTCTTGTAGCAAAGTCTTCTTTATTTCTTTATTTCACTTGTCTGTTGAGCACTGTAATGTGTCCTTAATTTTGGAAAGCTAGCTGTGTATCAGTGATATTTTCTATGCTAATTCAGAAACTGTGCATTTTCTAAATTATTTCTGTTGACTCAGAGTCAGTGACCAGTGTAGAACTGTTGTGCACACATGTAGTGGTCAGATTGCACAGGACTTGCACATGTATGCTGGTTTAATTTGCAATCAGTACTTCATTGTTCCGCCTCTGATTTTTGAAGTAAGCAGTAAATTGCTAATTTTGAGTATGTAGAGTTCTGTGAAAACAGAACTGTTTTCTCTGGGGCTCTGAGAACTTACTTTTTGGTTCTACCTTTTTTTTGATATATATGCAAGGTTTGATTATGAAGCACTGGAACCCAGAACAGCATATTTCATAATGAGAGACCTGGAAGCTTTGATCACTGACAAATCATTCAGCCATCAGCAGTTTGCTGTGGGTAACAGTATCTACAGTGTGGAAAGAACAGACAGCTTTGAGTTCGTAGATCCTGTGGATGGCACTGTGACCAAAAGACAGGTATGGCTGTAGAGATGGAGTAGCAAGGTTTTGCAGTTGTCACGTTGTATCCAACAGTGTTGTTTCTAAAGTTCAGCTGGCAAGACTGTCCATTTATTTATAGGGTGGTGTTTGCTTTGCTTTGATAGATACTGCATTTCCTACTTAAGATTAGCTTGGTCTGGATAAGATAATCCACCTCTGGTTTAGCTTGCACTTGCTGTACATAATTGGAGACAGTAGTCTCACAGTGAACATAGGATGAGATGAAGTCCCTGTTGACAGCAATGCATGTATAGGGAGGGTTCCCTTTCCGGAACAGTGGAAAATGTCATATAAAAAGATCTTTCCTTTTTCTATTTTCTGTCTGAAATATCCACTTGCTATACATATATTACAAAAAAAGTTAAAATTTTCTTGCTCTTGGTGACCCACAGAATTTACATAATTAGGGTAAAATATCTGTTTTTAGCCAACAGCATGCAGAAGACTTTAATAGATTTGTACCCTATGTGAGCACAATTGACTTCTCTAGCCCAAATCACCAGTTCCTTTTGGGCTCTGCCTATACTGAGATTCCTCAGCTCTCAAGAACTGCAGTTCAAACTGAGCCTTCAGTGTTTTGAAACTCATGATGTGCTCAAGAGTGACCATGCACTTTTGCCAGGTGTAAATGTATATTCAAATATCTTGAATATGAGCTGTGACTCATATTAAAGTTTGTCCTGATTTTATGTTGTTTATATTTTTTGTCCCGGTTTCTTTGTTTTTTTAATTACTTGACCTCACCAGACTCTAGCAAATGATATTATAAGCCATTAAAACTGTTGTCATGCCATTCTGATAAAAGTCTTTATATTTTCCACTCATCATTGCATCCAGAAAACGTAAGTAGCCCATCTGCCACTTAGCTACTGTCTGTATGTATTACTATTGAACCAAGATATGAGGATATTGTCATATCCAAGTCCAATGGAAAATTACAGGCAGGGCAGACTTGTGACCTTTGTACTTTAGAAAAACAGCTTGTGGATTTTCATTGCACTTTTCTTTCCCTTAATTTTCATCCAAAGCCCTTGCTCTATATTGGAATATAATTGCTAATTCATATCAGTGTGTAACACAAACAGAGAACCATGACTTGGCCTATTTTCAGATGGACTCTGAAAAGGAGACCCTAAAACCAGAAAGGATGTTTTGTCATAGGGAGAAGCTCTGAATTATTCAGAGCACAGTTCAACCAATATGTCTTTTGGCAAGGACACGTTCCTAGCTCCATGAATCTGCAGCCTCAGTGGGATTCTCCAAGCACGATAAAATAGGAGGGGATGCTGATCCATGCAAATGAAACAAGAGTTCACTGCTGCCATTTTCCTCAGGTAGTTTGCTCATCCTCTAAATGCAGATGCCCCTTCCAGACTATCCTAAGCTTCATGCCGATTTTCCAGCTATGTATTCAGCATGTTCCAAGTTTTGATCTTTGGTAGGTAGGGGAGAGCAATTTATATTCAGTGAATGAAAAGTTGGCTACATGCTACTTAATCAGTGTTAATAAACAACTTATTCAGAAAAAAAAATACAGCAATAAGAAAATAGGTAGCAAATGATACACTAAGACTGTAGCTTTTAATTAATTCTATTAATTCTATTGAAACCCATGAATATTGTTTATCACAGTGCAGTAATAAGGCATAAAATTAAATTAAACATTCTGCTGTTCTTGAAGACTGTTTTAATTTTTATTATAAGTCTTTGTAATTTTTGTGAACATGAGCACATAACAGTGCTGCTTCTGAGGAACCAGCAAGCCAGGAATGGAACCAGCTGCATTTTTGTGTGAAATTTGAATTGTAAGGATGAAAGGTACAAGTTACCCATTCACTAAGAGACAGAAGGCTCCAGGGAGACCTTATTGTGGCCTTTCAGTACTTAAAAGGGGGATTGTAAGAAACACGGGGACAATCCTTTTAGCAGAGCGTGTTGCAACAGGAAAAGTGGTAATGGCTTTAAACTAAAAGCCTGGAGACACACCATCTATAACGCTGCTTCTGCTTTTGAGAACACACGCAGGATCACTCTCGAGGAGAAAAGACAACGCAGAAAGAATCTCCTCTTGTCGATATTCCCTGGGGAGTCTTTCTGCTGTGCCTTCTGCAACCGGACTTGTCTGTCTTGCATTGGCCTTTTTAGCCATCAGCGCGCTTGTAGCAAGCGTGGGTAGAGCCCTTCTCAAATCTTCGTTCGTGAAGCCTAGCCATGATGATGAAAAGAGTAGATTCAGGCTAGGTATATATTCAGTGAGGGTGGTGAAATACTGGAACAGGTTGCTCAGATGAGTGGTGGATGCCCCATCCCTAGAAGCATTAAAGATCAGTTTGGATGGCACTCTGAGCAACCAGATCTAGTTGAAGATGCTCCTGGTCATTGCAGGGGGATTGGACTGGATGACATTTAAAAGTCCTTCCAATCTAACCCATGCTATGATTCTGTAGTAATCAACCAATCAATGCTTTATATGGTGTTGAAGATGTTTTGGTATATACCCGAGAAAACAACAGTTTTACTTTTCTTTAAAATATTGGAACACTGTGTTTCCAACATCAGTGTCTTCTCAAGGTGCTGATAAAACTGGAAGAACAAAATGCATCTCTTTTAATTCTCTCATTTTTTAATGGTTTACTGCCCTTTAAACAAAAGTAGCAAGGGTCTCAGTTTATGCACTAGGCATTTGACAACAGCAGGATTACGGGGAACTAAAGTTCAGTGGCATAGCAGAGGTGACACTTAGTCTGAGGGTATCATTTACAGTTCTTCATATTAGTGCAGAACTGGTAGAATACTGCAACACTACAACTATTCATCTGTTCAGTTTGCTTCTCTGGCCTTAATGGCCCCCTGTAGAGAAACTGTGGATCCAAGTATATAGTCTCTGGTTTATATATGCTGTACAAAGTTGGGGAGGAGGAAAGAAAAGAAGAGGTGAAGATGGGAGCAAGGAGCAAATTCACAGTTAATAAATTAATCAATCCTTTTATTATACACACAGTTAATGTGCATTAATTAGTGTACTTGAAATTAATTAACACCTTAAGTTTTCCAAGTTGTACTACAAACTTATTGAAATTCTTGCACTCAGATATTAATGCATGGTCTTTGAGGGGCAGCAGCTGGTCCTGTGTTTTGTTTTCACTGCTGACAACTGGTTTTTGGTCCTGGGATTCTGTACCTATTTCTTAGGCCACTCATCTTTGGAGATCTTATAGCTATTTCTCAGGCCATTGATCTTACACTCTGCCAAATAGAACAAGAAAAAATCAGGTGAAGAAAATAAAAATAGAACTAAGAGAGTATTTGTTATGAGGAGTTGGAGGGAACATGCAAAATAATTTCTAGTCCTTAATGGGGAAAAAGAGGAATGAGTGAATTGTCCAAAGTTCCAGGGTAAGAGGAATTGCATCCAAATGCCTCTACCTTTCACTTACTGTTTTAAAGCAGTGAATGGTGATATGTAAAGGTACTACCACCTTACATATATAAATTATTAACATATACAAATTATTAACATATATAAATTATTAACATATATATGCTGTTCCTTCTTCTCCTGTAGGGGCTGCGGATTATTTTTTCAGATGCTTCCAGGCTCATCTTCAGAATGAGTGCTTCTAGTCATGTGAGAGCTACTCTCCGGATCTATGCAGAGAGTTATGAAAAGGATCCTAGCCAACACAATAAGGAACCACAGGTAATGAAATAGGATTATAGTAAGTCAACAAATAATGCATTACCTTTGTAATAGCAGTGGCTATGGGTTCTCATCTTTAATCAGAAGTAACACTCAATGTTTGGACTGGTTTACTGTGTTTGTAGATGATTTTTGTATTGTAAATGTACTCGCTTTGAGGCAGGAATAACAGTTTTAATATATGTTTGTGTAATATCTAACACAACAAGAAGGCACACTAATATCTAACACTCTCAAGGGCTGAGATGTGTGGTGATGAATGCTGGGCAATGACTCCAAGTCTGTTAAGGGAAGACATTCTAGTTTGAATTTTTTTCACTATTTTTTTAAAAGGTTGTAATCTGAGTTCTAGAACAATATTTTAAAAATAAGTATTTTTCAAGAAGGTTGTCTGGAAGTCAGAGCATCCCAAGGATTCCTCATGGGAGACTGCAGTTAGGAAATACAGATGCCAGATTCTAAACAATGTAGAGATTCCTTTTTAAGGGAAAGACTTGCAGGTGTCTAAAACTTATATCATAACCAGACTTTTTTCTAAGAAGAGTGAATGTTGAAAGCAATTTGCTTGATAGTCCAGCACTATCACGTTTTACACTCTCAGATTTTTCCCTGGAAACCACCTTTATGCTGTGGTATACAAGAGAGGACTAAGGATGTGTCATGGAAAAGAGGTTAAGCATTTGGTTGTGGTAAATCAAAACACTGCAGTTTTAAGTCCCATGTAGCTGTGTGTTCGTGACTGGAATGCAAATGAAAATGTCCCAAAACATAAAAGCTTTCAAATCCATTTGAACCCTAGGTAAATTTTTGATGTTGCCTTTTCACCAGATTCTCACCATAAACTTAGCAAGTTTCTTCTTGTGCTGTTAAACATTGTCTATCAGTCACAAAAAGTGCTTCAGTTTTTACAGAAATGTTGCAGACTCCATACCTGCAGATATGATCTATTAATTTTATTTGCCTTTAAGTAACAGTTTGCATCCTCAGTAACTTCTTGGATAGACTACTTGTAATGTTAAAGCTTTGACAGAGTAAAGCACCTTTTTTCAGCAATTTTATTGGTTTTCTGTATATCCAGATATACCCAGCTAGCAAGATCATTGATGTATTTTAACTGGGGAAGAACACTGCTACAACCCCATTTCCAATTGCTACTGTATTGGATTTACACAGCAAAGTTTTGGTATCAAGGGCTGCAGGAGTGGCTTCTGGGAGAAGTTATCAGAAGCTGCCTCCATGTCAAAAAGAGCCAGTTCCAACTGGCTCCTAGATGGATCCCCCTCAGCCTCAAGCTGGACTCCATTTCCCTTATAGGCTCTCTTCAGGTACTGGAAGGCCACAGTTAGATAATGCTAAAGGATAACATACCATATCTCCTAAACAGTTGCCAAGAGATAAATGTGTTATTTAACGTACAAAGTGACTGCAATTGTTTTTTGAGCTGACATGTCAATAGTAAAGTTTTACAATTTCTGAAGAAGAAAGAACCATTTGAAAAATATTTTTAAATCAAGATCTCTTTGAGATATAGAAGGCTTTCTAGAGTCATATTAATGATAAGTGATTGCTGGCTGGGATTTATCTGTTGCAACTGAAATGTAAACTATTCATGGCAGAGGTAAAGGAGTTTTTAAAAGGCATATGCAGTTCTAGTTCCATGTTGTTCTGTCCTGCTCTTGCTATTCCAAATATAATTCACTTTCACTTTTTTTATATATTCTGGATGAAGAAAATGTAATTAAACTGAGAAGACAATTACAGAAGGACTTTCTCTGTTGAGAAGCATAATTGTAGCAAGAAGAACATTTAGTAACAAGTGAAATAACTGGGCAAAAGTGCAGCCCCTAAATTGTTTATGTAAATGGATGTCACATAAACTCACTTGATTTCGTGTTTTGTTCCAGCATTGTATAACGTGTTGCTTGGCTTGTTTTTTAATTTTAATGTAGAGTGCATTTATTACCTAAAAAAGCAGAGTCTAGTAGAACTAGTCAATAGGGTTGCTTTTTAAATTTTCTCTTGGTTTTACATTACATAAGGAAAAGGTTTCTTAGGAGAGTGCCAGAGAAGTTTAAATGCTTTGGTGTCATCCAGACCTTATAGATTGGCGTATTATAATGTTTGCTTTTGCAGTGTTGCTCACATATGTGAATTTGTGCTCTGCATATTAATCTTCTCTAAGTATGTTTGACTTTAATAGACTTATGTTCTGCTTCAGTGATTATTCAGTAGATAGATATCTACAAATATGGAGCTTTTTTAACAATAACACGTCAGACCACTCACACTTGTGCATAACTAAAAGTAATCATAAACTAACTTAACACCAATGGCATTCATGGTGTTACTGCATGACTCTACTTGCATGGTTAGTCTCTTCAGTCCTCTGATTTAACCATGTGACTGCTTGTATAAATAAACACCTCATCCTGTCAGAAACTGTTAGGTGGCTGAAACAGGTTAAAAGTATTGATTATATTAAGGTTATAAAAATATATCTGTAAATTTAAGCTCTCTAGAATTACGGTTTTGTTTTATTTCTTTTTCAAACCTGATGGGTTTGAAGCCAGAATTAGTTTATTTGAAAAGGGCAGCCAGGGGAAATCTCTAAGGATCAGAGAATTAACTTACTAATTTGGTAACCAAATATACAATTCTCTGAAAAGCAGGTTTTCACACAAAACTCAGCTCTGTCTGTTTATCTTTGGGTATCATTTAATTAACTGAAAGAAGATTCAATTGCCATTTGAAAAATTGTGTTTTACTTGGTTTTCACATGGTACTATCATAATAGTTACTTGCACTCACCCATCTGGGCATATATATGGCCATTTAATAAAGTCTGTAGCCTGAAACTTGAAAATTCATGCTTTTATGTTGGAATTTATCCTATTAACGTGGTATTATGCAAAACACACTTCTGTAAATTCTGTTAGGGTAGTTGTTACAGTACCTTCTGACCAAAGCTTCACAGAGTAAGGAGGAAAATATCCTATATGTGGCTTCCAGTTATCAGAATAGAAACAATTCTACTTCTGTAGAACTTTTTCTAGGGTTTTTTGTACAGCAGATTTCACAAGAGCTCCACAATTCCTGTGACATAGAACCATTATTAATATAATGTATTTTGTGGTTTCTCTTTTCTGCATAGCTTAGGTATACTCAGTGTAACACTTCACAAAACGTATGCTAAACATGGTACTTCATTATGCCAAGTATAACTATATAGACAACTATGACTGGTGTCAGTTTTTGATATCATTAACTTATTGTATAATTCTACAGTTAAAAGAAGGATTTACAAATGTAAGATGTCTTTTGATATTTCTGCTCAATGTAATTCAATGTATTTCTCCCTCTTTAGGCTGTGCTGAGTCCTCTCATAGCAATCGCACTGAAAATATCTCAGATTCATGAGAGAACAGGACGAAAGGGACCCACTGTCATTACCTGAAGCCACAGAAGATTGTTAAACCAGGGCCAAAAGAGAAACAGCAAGGAAGAGACAGAACCTTGTTAAGACTTGTTAGCCATTTGTGCCTTGTATGATTTTAAAAGTTTTCTCGGGGAGAGAGGCAGGGTGGAAAGTAAAATTCAATATAACATTGAGTATAATCACTTGCATTGATCTCCAAATGCAATAGTATATTGACTTCTTTGTTTTACCTGCAATATCTTAATTTCAGATAACAATATAACCAAAGAGGCCTTAACCTTCAAATGTTGTCAGCAGTATGACAGAAAATGACAACTGCTTGGTTTTGAATGCTGTGATAAAAGTTGGAGAAATTTCAGTTATGGAGAGAGAGGGAGGAATTCCAAAGCAAAGACTTGCTTGGTGAATATTGTTTGGGAATATTGTCACCTTCTTGTAAGTTTATAAAAAGGCATACAGAGCATGTCTTGACTCATAAGGGCTGTATAGTAAACTCTGTATTTCCTCACCTGACAACCATGCCTCCTCTCCTGCCTCTCCTGTTGCTCACAGATGCACACTGACAGCAGTGTTGTATACACATTTACACATGATCCCAAAGAAGGGGTTATTCCATATTTTTTTACCCCTGCTTTTAAAACATATCAATGTGACTTGTGCCTTTAGATGTTACAGATATTTTGGCTCTTTGGTTGTTTTCCTCCAAAAGGAGGCATTTGTGCTATAGAGTTGATTTTATCCTTCCAGCACTATGTTGGCTATGGAATCTGACGGTCTTTTGCAATATTCCTCATGTCAAGAAATGATACTGGTTCTTACTGTGTTTGAAAGGTAATTATTGCAAGATCAGCAATTCTTTATCAAGGAATTATGGAAGTCTTTTAAGTCTTTGGAATACTCATGCTCCACTACTACAAAGTGAAGTAAGTGAACAGGGGATTAAAAAACCTAATAAATTAAATAGAAATACTTGACTGATTCACCAGATGAACAGTTTCTGTTAGATTCTTAGTAACAGTGGATCATGGAATAAAAGTTTGGGGAGTGCAAAAGGCGTCTCAGCATAGATCTGAGAAGGCTGTTGGGGATATGGCCATCAGCATTTTTCTGCTTGTGAAATGATACTGCAGTTCTAGCTACAATACTGTGCCCTGAAGAAGAACACAAACACTTTGCATGTGATTTGTTTCAAAGCTTTGCTTTGTTGGTCACTTGTATTCATTCATCAGGGTGGCTTTGTGCAACTTGCCTCTTTGCAGTGTATTTTAATTCATTGTGGTTGTCAAATTTTAGTGCAATTTATATAATATTGCAGCAAAGAAAATTGTTTTTATTTCTTTCAACACTTCTGTCAAAAAAATGGCTATGGCACTTAGTACACAATAAAGAGTAATGCTGTATATCTGTCTTAATATGTAATTGTGGACAAGACACACTGCACTTTCAAGCATCCTAATAAAACTGCCTTTAATACAGTTACATTATTACTTAATTGACTCTACATGAATGATGTACTAATATTGTCACATATTATCCTATCTTACCATTACGTATTCCTATAAACCAAATGAGATTTTAAGACTTTGGTTCTTTTTATAAAGATTTTTCTTTTATATGACCATGGCATTCTTACACAGTTTGGACATCCACTTTTGAGTGTAAGAGTATTCATCTTTACAGAAACCTTGCAAAGAATGTTTCTGGAAGAAACCTGGTTTATCTGATGCTCTGTATTTATTATAGATCAGAACTCCTCTAGGTCCAAGATAGTAAGCTCCTAGCCAGTAGATCACACATAGTCACACACTCTGGATTACGACAGTTCGAATTACTGCGTTGCACGAAAGAATGTTCTGAAAGGCATCGAACTAAAACAAACTTGTAAAATCTCCTGCATGTTCTTTGACAATGAAATAATTTTTGATCACCTAGTGAATATATAGTTATTTGTACTATGGCATATCCCATTTGTCAAGCTTTTCTGGGATGGGAACAATGCACTTCGAAAAGTAAGATATAGTGAAGCCAGGTGTCTTTCAGGATGCATTGGGAAGATTCACAAGGAACAGGTGAGGACTGTGAAGAATCATATCTGTGCTTTTATCAGAAAGCTCTCACTAGAGCTGCAGTAGATGGCAGTCTGCTTTCATGAAGGCAGTCATGGTAAACAAAGGGTATATTTTAAAATCCTGGTATCGACTTTATCTTGGGCTCCAGGTCCTGTTTTTAAAAAGATGGGTGATAATGCTAAAATGTAACTGGTATTTTCCACCAGTTAATTACTTTTCTCTGCAAGAAGATGAATAAAACTTTGTAAGGCTGAAGTACAGTGTATATCTTTATATCTGATAAATTTGGGGAAAGACCATAGCCATAGTCTTATGAAGTGTGCAGCATTTCTTGAGGTCTTTCAATTATTAACATGAAAGATGGATGCTCGGAAAAAAGCAGCATATACAAAGTTACACAAAAATGAAAAGCTCCTAAAAACAGACCATACATCTAGCAGAGGGAAAAGTATTGATACTTTTCTTATCATCTTATCACAGTGTCTAGGCACTGTGACAGAGACCCACACCCTTCTGTGCTATTTTTGAATGAGCAGTTTCCTCAAGTCTGGAAATTGCAAAATTCCTTTATTGTTCAGCTATGACTGCACTAACATTTACTTGGACATCAATTCTGTTTCCCAACACCTTGGATTCTCTCTGTGTTCAGAGATAATTTGTAAGGCAGTACTACTCACCTGAACCACAGAATCACAGAATCCTTGAGTTTGGAAGGGACCAAATAGTTCATCAGGATTAAAATCACTGGTCCATGTCCCAGCTCTCAGCAGGGTCACGCAGAGGAAGCTGCCCAGGGCCATATCCAGTTAGGTTTTGATTATATCCAAGGGCTGAGACTCCACAACCTCTCTGGGCAAACTGTTCAAGTGATTGACCACTCCTTTAATGAAAAAGAACCTTCTGTGGCTCTTCAGATGGAATTTTATGTGATTCAGTTTGTGTCCATTGCCTCTTGTCCTGTCATTGGGCACCACAGAGAAGAGCTTGGGTCCATACACTTTTTTCTTTCCCATTAAATATTTACAGAAATAAGTTCCTTATGAACCTTCTTACAGACTAAACACTCCTAAATCTCTGAGTCTCTCATAACAAATGAGACTGGATGTGGCACTTAGTGCCATAGTCTAGTAACTGTGGTGGTAGTGGATCAAGGGTTGGACTAGATGATCTCAGAGGTCCTTTCCAACCCATCTGATTCTATGATTCTAAATGCTCCAGTCCCTTCATCTTTCTGGTCTTTTGCTGAAAGTTCTCCACTATGTCCATGTCTCTTTTGTACTTGGGAAGCTCAGACCCAGCACTCCAGCTGTATCTCACTCTGCTCAGCAGAGGGAAAGGATCACCTTTCTCCAGCTGCTGGTGATGCTTTTCCTAATGCAGTCCAGGATGCCACTGGCTGTCTTTGCTGTGCAGGTGCATTACTGGTGAGCTGTCAACTGGTTGACCACCGAGTCCTTCTCTGTGGAACTGTTTTCCAGCCCACTGGCTGCAGCATGTACTGGTGCTTGGATTTGTTCCTCCACAAGGGCAGGACTTCACATTTCCCTTTGTTGAACTTCATACGGTTCCTGTTGGCCCATTTCTCCAGCCTATGTACGTCCCTTGTCATGGCAACCCATCCGCCTGGAATGTCAGCTGCTCCTTCTGGTGTTGTATCATTTACAAAACCACCGAAGATGTCTCTGCCCCATCAGTTCCATGATGCCAATATTTTCTCCAGTATTGAGCCCCAGGTTATGCTGCTGGTGACTGGCCTCCAAATGGACTTTGTGGCAGTGGTCAGAACCCTCTGGTTGGTAAGCTGCTTTTCAATCCACTTCACTGTCCACTTTTTAAATCATATTTTATCAGTCTGAAGATGTTTTTGGATATGGTGTCAAAAGCCTTACTAAAGGTGAAGCAAACAACATTCAGAACTCTCTCCTCATCCACTTCTCTCTCCTCATCCACTAAGCCAGTCATGTCATTGTAGAAGGTAATCAAGTTGGTTAAGCATCATTTGCCCTTCATAAATCCATGCTGATTACTCCTAATCATGTTCTTGTCCTTCATGGCTTTTACAAGGGTTCCCAGGATTGGTTACTCCATCACCTCCCAGGATCTAAGGCGAGGTTGGCCAGCCTGTTAACTTCCCAGACCCTCCTTCTCTTACAGACAGGAGTGATATTTGCTCTCTCAGGGATCTCTCCCAGTCATCCACAGTCTTTCAGAGGTAACAGAGGGTGGCCTTGCAATGGCATGCCTCAGCTTCTTCAGCTCTGAGCGTGCATTCCAAGTCATCCCATGGACTTGTGTATGTCCAGTTTTTTCAAGTGATCCCTGACTTGTTCTTGCTCCACCCAAGGTAAGTCTTCCTTGCCTCAGATTTTTCCTCTAGTCTTGAGGGCCTATAATTCCTGAAGGCTGTTTTTACCAGTGAAGATGTAGACAAAGAAAGCATTGAGCACTTAAGCCTTTTCTGTACCCTCTTTTAACTCATGTACATGTAGAAACTTTTCCCATTGCCCTTCACATTCATCACCTCATTCAACTCCAGGTGGGCTTTGGCTTTCCTGATCTCAGCCCTGCACGGTTGGATGGACAGTGTCAATCATGCAGTATTCCTCCTGGTTCAGTTGTCCCTGCTTCCACTTATCATACATTTCCTTTTCATATCTGAGTTTAATCAGTGCATGCATGCAGGCCTCCTGCTGCCTTCGTTTGATTTCTGCATGTCAGAATGAACCATTCATGAGCTTGAAGGAGGCAATCCTTGAAAATCAAAGAGCTGTCCTGTATTTATCTCTTCTCTGGGGCCATAAACCATGGGACTCTTCCAAGCAGGTCTCTGAAGACGTTAAAGTCTTCTCTGCAGACTTTGGTCTCACTTTTTGTCCTTTTTGCTCCTCTCAGAATTCTGAATCCATTGTCTCATGATCAATGCAGCAAAAACCTTCATGTGCCCACCCACTTCTGGTATTGTGAGTGCCAGGACAGGACCATCTTATTGACTCCTCAGTCACCAGTGGCAGGAAGTTATTTGTCAATGCACTGGAAGAACCTATTCTGTTCTGAAGCCTTAGTTTGACTGGTTTTGTCCTTCTGCCCAAAGAAAATTCCTTTTAACTTAAAATTTCCAGCTGCTATTCTTGGCAAATATGACTTCATGCTATTAAATTTGATCAAAAGCAAACTGTTTAAAAGCTTTTGCTGCTTTAAGATTGTTGACATTTTTGAGCTCGTTGCCCATGCCATTTTTAATTAAGTTCATAATCAAATAGTTCATTAGTTGAAAAGACAAAGTGATTGTGTCAAAATACCAGATTGTATCAAAATATTAGGTATTAACTTTAATGTTCTCCTTATCTCAGTAACTTTCATGTATCAAATACTTTATTACATACTGCATGTGGAAGATGCAGCTATCTTCAGTTTGACATTCATGGACCCACTGAGACCTCACAACATCTGCAGAGGGCTGGAGCCAAAAAAGGGCACTGCAGGGCTCTTCTGGAACTGGGAGAAAGGAAAGGAGGGTTAGGTCTTCCTGTTTGTTCATAAACTATGTGGAAAGCATCTGAGTGAATTTCCTATAGCAAACTGGTCCAAGAGCAAACTTCAGGGGTACTCCAGCAGTACTTGTTCTCAACATGACTCAGAACTGTAGTCTCAATCTTTTCCCACTCATTTGGTCTTGCATTAGTAGTTACCTACCTAGTGGAAAAGCTTGATCCCCACTGGAGAAAAAAAAAAAAAAAAAAAAAAAAAACGTTGAACATGCAGGACAGGCATTTTGCCATGGGATGCCTCCTGGCTGATCAATCTCACTGCACCAATACTTTTACAGTACTCACTACCTTCAGAATCTGGGACTCTGGAGTAGAAAAGCAAGAGATTTCAGGGGATGGATATGGGAGTAAGATACAGAGGTAAGACTATAACAAGGTCACTTGGCATAGCAGATCCCCACTTCAACTATTTTGGAAATATTGTGGCTTTTATTGTTCCCTGTGCTGTGCTGCTTCTCAGTCACTTTGAAAAATCTTTATATGCTTATAGCATCTTCTATCAACTTCTTTCCAGGGGTTCTTTTTTTATACTCTGAGTGTTTTAATACCTTTCTCATCAACAACTTATCTTGAACTGATTTTTCTTTCTCTGTAGTTTGTTCACCGCATTTTACTCAACTTTCATTTTTACTTAAAGCAACTGAAGGTTTGTATATTTTTCCTATATAGGGTGAAATTCTTTGAAGGACAAAACTGATGCAATTGTCAGTTCTCTGGCCTTAGCTATTGTTAACACCACAAGTTGTATTTCTAATGCATGTGCAGCCACAGTGCTCACCTTGTAATTTTATAGTATGTGGGCATCTGGAAAGTGTGATAGCTTTTCTGTTTCACTGGTATGTAACAGAACCAAGAACAGGTTGCCCAGAGACATGGTAGAAGCCTATTCCTGAACAAATTCAAGGTCAGTAGGAATAGGTACATTTCCGGAAGAATTTGTAACAAAAAGTTACAACTCATTTTGTTAGGAAGGCTTTCTGCCGAAATGGTAACTCTTTCTCAAAGGGAACTTTAATACTTCCCACCTTCCCCCCTTCCGCGGCGTGGCAAGAGAAGTTCTCAGCCTCACTCTCTGGTATGCAGAGAGCTAACATGTTTGCAGACATGCACAAGGCCTCCTCGGGCCAGAAAGAGAGTATCGGAGGAGAGAGAGAGAAGATAAGAAAAGCCTTGGAGGAGGAGGGGCATTGACTTTGCCCCTGGGGCCTAATGTGTGCAACATCAAAAAAAGAGGGGTCCTTGCATCTAAAATAAACCTTTCTTTTTTAATCCTTCCACTGCCTTGGCATTCTTGAGAAGAATACCTGCATATGTTTACCTTAGAGTCAGGTTGGATGGGGCTCTGAGCAATGTGTTCTAGCTCACTGTCAGGGCTTGGACTAGATGACCTCTAGAGGTCCGTTCCAACCAAAAGAGGAAAATTCATCTATAGTCAATGTTGCAGATTCAAATCTCAAAGAACCCTCTTGACATTTTTCTTGTCATCTGGAATTATAGGTGACAGTGCCTGGATGCGAATTTGCCTTGGTGATTCTGTGGGAGGAAGACATATATCCAAGACTATCTTTTTTTGTGGTATTTGTTGTGTAATTATGAGATCACTTGTGTCAGAAACAGGATACAGGGTCCCTTTCTCAGTTCCCACAGTCTTGAGTAAGCTGCAATGGAAGCAACTGACCTTAGAGGTAGCTCAGAGGAGTCAGAGATAATTTTTCCTCCTGCAATTGGTAGTTTCCTCTGAGAAGCTGTGAGCATAACCAGTGTTGTCTGTCTGGCAGCTTGGAGGCATATTTTATTGTGCCCTTATCTGGAATCATGGACCTCTTGTATCATATAAACAGACATAAGGCATTTGTTTGAAATACAAAATTTATTCATTAAATCTATAGTAAAATAGCAGATATTTTTACCCCAAAATAAAACACAAAACTTGAAAAGCATACAATACAAAAACAATCAGTTACAACAAATAATCTACACATTTCAGACAAAAGCAATCAAAAGCTGAGTACATAAGTTTCCCAAGTCAGCTAAAGTTTCAAAACCACAAATGAAGGCTTTAATTTGAAACTCCTTACAAGATAGAAGACATTTAGGACTGATAATAGCGTGATGCTTCATTTGCCTTGTAGTGTAAGAAACTCCTATTGCCATCGATGGTGACTTCTGTAAGATACAGCCTGAACATTTCTATCTCTACAGAGAGTTATTCTGCTCTGAAATACTGAGCATTTTTATATATATCCTCCAACTCCACTCAAACTGACAAATGGTCAGTGTTTTTCCTGTGCCAGTTCACCCTAGGTAGTGTACTACTAGGGATCACCTACACAAGTTTTCTTCCAGTTTTTCCTGCTTCACAGATGTGGAATTTTACTGGCTACCCATATTTTGACAGGTGTCACTCCTTCTGAGGTTCCCTGGAAGCCTATATCCAGGTGGTAACTGATTTCTTGCATGGATATATGAGAATTTGACTCCAGTCCGGGGTTTGAGTCTTGGTCAGCTGTTTGCTGCTGCCTTACCTGCTGCACACATAATTCATATGGTGGTGGCTGTTCCTGCTCATTTGTTTCACTGATGAACTCTGCACTGTTTTCACTATATAGAGGTGGAGGGACACTGATGGCTTCTTCCTGTTTTACTGTGAAGGCAATTGACAGTGGGGAAGTCTGTTTTTCAGGATCTGTGTAGTCTTCATACGAGGGAGGATAGAAGTCAGGCCTAAAATAAGAAAACCAAAAAGAAACACATTGTGGTGAAATGTGATTTATCTCACAGAGCTTGGTTAGATGCTTTGTCTGTTACACTTCTGAAGTTTAGATGATGCTTATACTGTAAATGGAAACTTAAATAGGTTTGGAACAATGAAATATATTAAATTAAAAAGGTAGGCATAGCCAGGATCTTTTCCTGTGGCTTTGTACAAAATGTTTTATTAAAACACAACATTCTAAAAGGACAAACCTTCCTCGTGAAAATTCGCACCCCTGACATACAAACACTCGTGCTGGTATTTCAACAAGTGCCTGAGAAAAGTTTAATTTGAAAGAAGATTGGGATCAATGTTCAAAGTTATTTATTATTCCAATAACCATTGTTTTCCACAGTTTTAAAATGCATTTTGTATGTCTCTGCTTATCTAACCAAAATTTGCTGAATGTTGCTTTTATAGTGCTTTTAGAGAACCCACTGTCAGTGTTTCTGGTGCGGTTTCCACAACAGTCCAGGAAAAGTAATTTGTATCCAGTGTTCCTGTTAAAGGCTTTTGCAAGGCCTAATGCCAATCAGTTTAAGAAACTCTCTCTCTCTCTCAAAGCATCCAACTTTGTTAAGAAATAAAATTGTAGGATCACAGAATGTTTCGGGTTGGAAGGGAACTTAAAGGTCATCTAGTTACAAACCCCCCACCATGGGCAGGCACACCTTCCACTAGACCAGATTGCTCAGAGTGCCATCCAACCTAGCTTGCAAAACTTTCAGAGATGGGGCATCCATAACTCTGGACAACCTGTTTCAGTGACTTACCACCCTCACAGTATACCATTTTTTCCTAGTATCTAATCTAAACATAACCTTTCTCATTTTGAAAACATTCCACCTTGCCCTGTCACTACATGTTCTTATGCAAAGTCCCTCTCCATCTTTCCCGTAAATTCCCTTCAGGTACTGGAAGGTGCTATAAAGCCTCATTGGAGCCTTTTCCAGGCCGAACAACCCCAGCTCTCTCAGCCTGTCTTCATAGGAGAGGTGTTCCAAACCCCTGATCATCTTTGTGGCTCTCCTCTGGACCCATTCTAGCAGGTCAGTGTCCTTCCTGTGTCAAGGATCCCAGACCTGGATGCAGTGCTCCAGGTGGGGACTCAGAGAGAGTAGAGAGGCAAAGTGCCTTCGCTTAACCTGCTGCCCATGCTGCTTTTGATGCAGCCCAGGATTCCATTGGCTTTCTGGGCTGTGAGTGCACATTGCCAAGTCATATTGAGCTACTCATCAACCAACACCCCCGAGTCCTTCTCCCCAGGGCTGCTTTCAGTTAATTCTCTTCCCAGCCTGTGTGTGTGCTTGGGTTTGTCCCAGTCCAGGTGCAGCATCTTGCACTTGGCTGTGTTGAACTTCATGAGGTTTTCCGATAAGGGGGACAGTTAGACCAGAAAACTTTAGCAGGAGCCATATAATGAGCTGAAGCTCCCTGCATACCTCAATATTGATCACTTATATAAGCACCCTACAGCAGCACATTTGAAATTGTCTGTTGAGATGGAATTCAGGATGCCCCTGCATGAAGCTGGCATAGGTGCACCTGCTACCTCCCTGTGTGGCTTTGGAAACTTTTTGAAAACAGTGAAATGTCGGGGGTGGACCAACGGGAGCCTACAGAGAATGGAGAAAAATGCAGGAGGTCTGTGAAGGAGCCTCAGAGGAAGAAATCTGTCTAGAAGTGCTTTGACAGCTGCAGCTGCAGGAAGTGCCTGAGATCCAGCAATAAGACACCGCTTCACAGACCCCTGCAGAACCCCCCTATCTGTGCCCCTCACCTCTCCTTCCCTTCTTTCCCTAACTCCCAACTCTCCCTATATGGCTGGACGTATTCCCCACGGCCAATCCCTCCATCCCTCTTATCTCTGACCCTTGGGATTCGTTGTTCCTAGCAGAATTCCACCCTTGTGAAACCCTTCCATGTTCCTCTCTATATAAAGTGACATCTTGTTTTAATAAAGGCCATTTTGTGGGTCACACTCCTGTGCTCCGTCTCCCATACAAGATGTGCCACTGGGTCTGTCGCGGGACCAAACCCCACCCGCGATAGTGAAACCTCTCTGTTTCCCCCAGTATACCTTACCTTATGTATTGTTTGCATGAATTGCAGCTTGCACATTGCTCCTTGCTCTAGCAAATAAAAATTCAGACTACAGTTCTCTATAGTAAATATAGTACAATTTTTAAAAATTTTGTAAAACCTTTTATTGCGTCTTTTTTCTGACAGTATGCTTACAAAATAACATCCCTCCCTCCCATTTCATCTGCAACAAACCGCAACACCTACCTGTCTATGGTGCAGACACATAGTTCTTGGTGGCTGGGATTTCGCATGATGATGCCAAGGGCCCTGTATTTCAGGACTTCATGGAAAGTGCTCCAGAAAATGCCAGTAACAAGGAGAAAGAACCCCAGAGCTACCAGGCAATAAAACACTAGCTCATTATTTCCACATCTGCACATGAAGGAATTTGTGGAAATGCAAAGGACTCCCAGACAAATAGTGGAGAAACTGAGTAAGAGCACAAAAAGACGAATGAAGGTAAAAACATCTTTTGGCATCTTTCACAGCAGACAGTGCTTTGTTCCTGTCTGCTGCTCATTTACTGTTTCTCTTGGCTGTACTTCTCATCTTCGTGCATGGGTACTTTATACACTCCAGGACCATCTGCCCTTTAGACGATTAAGAGAAGCAGGCAGCTCCAAGATAATCATTAACTCTTTGAGAGACTTATAAACTTTTGAGATTAATTTGTAACCTTCTACATACTTCAAGGAAGGAAGTAGAAACTTCTTGAACCATTCCTTTGCTGCTGTAATCTCCAGAGTGCATACTGGACTGCTTCATTCATTGCATGTTATGATTTGCAGTGGTTTGTGCACTTCGCTGTTTATGAATGAGACCTGCATTTGTTAAATTTTACTTATTTGACTTTTGAAGAAAAACAACCAACAAAAATGCTGTTCATAATTCCTTGTTAAAGGTTTGAAGAACGAATGTGCTTCTTTCTTAATCACCCATTTTCATCTTTCATTGGATTTTGGTTTCCTACTTTTAGCACATTATTCAACTGCCTTGATACTTTTTAGTAGTCCTTTGGAAAAGGATATAATTTCTAGCTTGCTAGGTATATATATAATAACTGAATTTAGTACATAAAACGAAAGAAATCAAGATTACATCATGTCAAAAAATAAAATAAGCATATAGGAAATCTTCTTCTTTGTCTGCAGGTTCAATTGTACTTTGATTCCTTTAATATTACTCTGTTCTCTCTTCCAGAGAGTTTTATTGATTGATTTTCAAAAGGGTCAGTACTCAAAACTATGCAGGAACAGCTATAATCAGTTTTACAAATATATTTAGATGCCTGAAATTCAGAGATGCTTGCTATCAAGAGGTTTGAAGCCTAAATATTGCTATCTTCAATAAAAAACCGGTCTTTAGAATTAGTCAAATGATTTCCTATTGGACCTTATATCCACTAGTTTTTGACAGGGTGTAGCAAAATTCATAATCAGAACTGGACTTATCTAAAGATGCTACCTTATTTGAAAGATTACTAATTATATTTTCAGCAATGAAGTAACTAACTAGACCTTGCCTAGCTTTGTTGCAAAATCTCCGTTGCACATGGTGAACAAATCAGAGCAGGAAACAATTTGAAAAATAGTTTCAGTCTGAAATCTTCATTGAAATAATGAGTTCGTTGCAGGTATTGTTGAGTGATAATGAGGTGATTCACATATGGATAGCAACAAATGATTATGAAGATTTTCTGCCATGGCCTATAAATGGGTTTCTTCCTACCTACTGTGGACTCTTGATTTTACTACTGCAGTCTGGGGGAGCTGTGGGACTTCTGTAATCAGTGCAATAAAACTTTCTAACACAGTGCTTGGATCTAGTATGCAAATACTTAAAGCAGGAGTCGTGTTTGATGGGATGAGGAAAGCTCCTGTTCTTCTTAATGTAGACCTTCTCTGCAGCTCTGGAGGGGAGAACTCTTCACAGGCACTTTCAGTAGGGTGTCTGAGCTTCATATCATCAACTTAGAGGAGACAAGTCTGATGTTTGACTGACCAGGATTCTTCAAAGTACTGCGTCTCCTGTCAGATGGTGTCCTGGGCTGTACCTGTGTGACTGCAAAATGGCACACAATCCCATATTATGTCTCACTGAAACTCTATGGTATCTCATGTGATGTTGCATATCTGCTCAACCAGCACTTTACTTTTCTGCCTCATGTTTGTCCAAGTGTGGCAGATGTTCATTTACAACAAATCAGAATATTTATAAGGAAACAGCAACTGGGCTACCAAGCTGCCACACATTCTGATCAAGCACAATTTCATTACGCTCCTGCCACCATTACTGCATCTTTAGTTCTCAAATGATCTGTGACAACATTCTCACAGTTTCTTTTCAGTATCTGTCAGAATGTCAACAACAAGAACAAATCTCATTAAACAATATAACCACTAGACAGAATTTTTCTAAGGTGAGTCACTCTTTTGTCATAACAAAAATGAAAGTACAATAAGACCAGCTGCTACCCTTCCTAAGGAAGACATTCAGGCAAGGAATGATCTGGGGTAGTCTTCATTTTAGAGCAAAACCCTTCCAAAGTTGTAATAGTCATGTTCTCTCAGGCCTTGGCTACAGACACCTAAACATCACTAAGGAAGGAAGGCACTGCTTCATGTGCAGGTGAGAGTATGAGTGAGTGCCAGTTGATCTGAGACTGATATGATAAAACAGGTGAGGTAAATTGAGTGTTTTCCACTCTGTAGTGCCTTCTGGCAATTCTAACAGGACATATTTTGTGTAAGCCACCTTTCCCTTCAGCAAAGTCACCTATTTATTTTATTCCGATGTATGTATTTGAAGCTTATGTTCACATGCGATTTTCTGTTCTATATTTACCCTATGACAAGAAGGAAATTATCTCACTCATAACTTAGTAGACCGTCAATATTCTTGTGACTCTCTGATGTTTGAACAACACAGATTGGTATATCAGGATCACTATACACAACAGCAAAAAACCCAGATCTATTTAAATACAAAAAATTTTCTGATGTCACCCATGTTCCACTTACATGCCTAGAACCCTAGATCCCAGCCTGCACCATTGCAAATTTGTTAACAAAGGATAAAATTTTTATCTTTGTGGTGTGGAAGTTTACAGTATGCCTGGTTCACAGGGATCTCTCCTGTAATGTGTTTCCTTGTTAGAAAAATGGAAATGAATGCTGTGCATTGGTACTTTTAACGTGATTTAGTTCTTTTCTAATGAAGACTCCCTACAGAGAAGATGAATTCTGTTCTTATCATCCCATGGTAAAGGTACAACTCCATGTGATGCATATAGTGCTCGGAAACTGGCTATAAGTGTGACAAGTTCATTTTTCATGTGATCTCAGTCCATGTGCCTGCACAGCACACAGGTTGTGGGCTGCTGTCACAGCAGCTACCAACAGGTAACTTCCTATGAGGTGAGCTGGCTCATTTTCTGGAAGACGTGTTAGAGCAGCTCTTGAGGATGAGTTAAGATGGAAATACAAGAGGTGTGTATGATAGAACTGTAGGAATAGTGGTGCTTTTGGAAGAATTTATAACTGGAAAGCTGGAAAATCCTTTCTGCTTAGGAAGCCTGCAAAGGGCCTTTTCAAGAGCGTTAAATGGGTTTTTTCCCCTCTGCAGCCCAGAGGGGGTTGAAGAAAGAGCTGTGTTATCTCTGCTATACCAAGAAAGATAACCCTAACAGATATGTACATGGGCCTTGGGAAGGCAGGGGAGAAACAGAGAGGATAAAAAGGCCCTAGAGAGGGCAGGAACTTGCCTTTTGTCCCTGGGGCCTGGTTCTTAATAGCACTGTGAGGTATTGTTCTGGCCTCCTAAACAAATCTTTGAATTCTTTCCATTGCCTTGGCATTTCTGGGGATACCTGCATGTCTTACTTTACACCACCATATCTATACACATGCACACATACAGACATTGACATGGGAGGGAAATGGGCATGCATGGATAATAACTGCTGTTCTCTGAGAGGTGTATCGTCTCACCTTTTCCCTCTGACTTGTCAAGGTAGCACTAAAGATTATCAGTTTCTGGAAGGTATCAGTCTAGGTTCAACAAAGGATTTAATTTTATAAGCACTAGTTGTTAACATGCAACACCCTGGGCCAGAGAGCCTAGCAAGTTGACATGAAGCACTAGCAAGACGTGTGCAGTCCATAAAGGAGTCCAGCACCTCAGACTGGGACACAGGGAAGGCCTGAGGGACGTCTGTGAGCTCCCAGAAGCAGCTGCAAGAGGCATTACATCTCTCAGTGAGTAGGTTTCCTAGACGTGAAGCTACCCCAAAGCTATGCTGGGTAGCTCGGAATACCACTCACAAGTCTATCCCCAGCTGCTTAAGCTGTGGCTGATGGATATTAGAACACACAGCTCACACCTCCCTTGAACCTTGTAAGGTTCAAGCTGCAGAAACAGCAAAAAAATTCAAAAAGCAACTGGTGAGCACAACAAACAGATAATTTCCCTTAACAAGAGCTGCTCCATTGGAGAAGGCATAAAGTGGAGCAGATTCCTGCTAATGTGAACTGCCACTTAGCAGGTGTCCATGTGTGTGCTTCTCAGGGACTGGGGATCATGGAAAACTGTCCTTTTAGGCACTGATTTCACCAAATTCAGGTCACCTAAAGATGTGGCCCAGTTGTGACAGAGGAATGAATGAATGCTCTTCCTGAGACTTGTTTTTCCCCACAGGCTATAGATTCAGCAGAATTTACAATAATATTTTTTTTGCTGTATAATTTCTACTTTCTCCCTACCTGTTAAACATCCTTTACTTTAAAAAATATTTCTTTTTACTTCCAGGTTTTTTGATGTTTCAGATCTTAATCCATTCTGCCACCACATGGTATTTCTGAAACAAGTATATTGATAACAATACTTTCTACTTCTTTATATATATATATAGATCTGTACTCATTAATCCGTGTGTGGTAAATTTATGGCTGGAACATGATGGCATCATATCTGTGGTGACAAAAGCTAAATCAATTGTTATAGAAACACCTAGACAGGAAACGATAACCTGTCTACGTGGAAAAATCTAAGAGTTCAAATATGCTCCCTTTCTATCCTGGGGAAAATATTTAAAAGAGATAGTCTGAAAAAATCTTTTATGAGGAAATTACAAAAATTAAATAAATGTTTAAACTCTCAGTAGAATCAAAAACCAGTGAGTAGGCTACACTTCACTTAGGCAATAGAACTGCTTTGCATTATAAACTTTAGCCAAGGAAAAACTAATTTTCTATCCTATCCAATTCCTTGTCAACCCTAAGAAATTAAACAAGTCAGTCCTGTCAGTAGCAGCTGGTTCCAGAGGACGGTAAAGGTAGATCCCAACCCTCAGTGGGGAGCAGGCGTGCAGTGTGACTGCAAGGTGCACTGAACACAGAACAGAGAGCTCAGCCTTGCAAGGGAGCTGGGGATGGAAGGGTAACAGAAAATTATGGCTTAGTCCTTGTGATGCTGCAGTAGA